ATTTGTGCCATGTTTTAGTCTGGTCGCTCCTAGCTTTCTTCCAACCTACTCCTAAACCATAAAACATCACACGTCGGCACAGTCGGTCCCAGCCATCTCAACTGATGAAGTTTCACTACTTCATCACTTGATTTGCCATCCTTACCTAGTACCCGTTTCCTAACAACTGTGTTACTTACTCGATACCTCCAGGACTTTAAAATTTAATTAGTAACCATAGCAATAGATATAAATTAATTTGCTTTTATAGTGAAAATTCCCATTTTGCCATTTAATAAATAAAGAAGGAACAAATTGAGCTCAATTTGTTCCTTCTTTATTTACCAAATTTGATTTTAATATCTGACATATAACACAACTAATGTACCAATTGAACATTCATTCATTCATTCAATTTTGTGTTCTACTTTAGATATATGAACTAAGCATACTATTCAGTCTTCACTTATTGAAGTATGGGCATTAATACTTCAAACCAATGATAAATGTTGACTGTAAACCGAATGCTTTAATCATTAGGGATATCCCTGTTTGAACCTATATGGCCAGTTTTCAATGATCAACCATCTTTTTTATTTCTTCTATTCTCATCTTTATTATTAAAATTGAATTAGTCCAAAGACATAATGAGAAGGAATTTATTTTAATTAAATTTCTTCTTTTTAATCCGTTGTTTAAGATGAGAATTTCGTGAAGTAGTATGCAGCGAAATAACAGACTTTCTTAACTGGGTTGTACTGAGTCTCATGTGGTTGAGCTGTAATAACAGGGAACCATTTGTTTGGTCTGTCTACTACAGAAGGTTAGTCGCGTCCGCAGTAGCTCAGTGATAATGTCTCTAACTATGACAAAAGATAGAATTCACCAAGGAGCATCATTTCCTTCAAGATTATAGGTAAACCTTACTGACGAGTGCCAAACTTGGACAACCGTACTTTCCTCTCCACTATCCCCAAGCAATAACTTAGACCTCCCTGCATAGTTTGATTATCGAACAGTTCCCCTATACTACCAGTAGGACCTGTAATCTACTTACCAACTGACACATCGACAAACGAACAACAACCAAGACCTTATCTTTAATTGGTTCTCGAGCTCTTTCTTGTTCGATAGACAGTTAGAAGATGAAGATATAAAACGGATCAGTTCTCTTTTATACCTAATTCATTCATGACCCAAAACCCTTGCAGTACTACGTCTGAAATGTCTGATCACATAGCAACACAATTAGGGAGCTATAGTGTGTACATAACTTGATCATAGGCGATACAAAGTCAAAATGATGAGTTCTGTGACTTGTAACCGGTTAATTTATCACGTGATTTACTTGCCAATCAGGAAATGACTTACACAATCTCAGCACTGTGCCAAACCAATGACGTATTGACCGGTATAAGCAGCCTAGCTTTTTTATTGGTTTTTTTCCTGCTTAGCCTCACCGATTGAGCCCAGAATACCAATACCAACTACATGAATCATTTATTTCAAACATACCTGGTTTATATACAAGCCGACCAGACTATTTGTATAATATAAGTATAAATAATAATCCTTTATAGGGTATGCTCAAAAAAGTTATACTTTCTCACCATTCGTCCCATTATACCATGAAGGTTGTTCAATTTTTTAGGATAGTTTACATCACAGATTGATATTTAGTCAAGAAACCAGAGAGTACTGATTTGTTTTTTCAGTTCTGAATAGAATTTCTTATCTGTTAGCATCAATAACTCAATCATCAATAGAACTGTATGTTCTATGACTGGTAAAACATTGTCAGCAAAAAATGTGTAACACTTCAATAAATTCCTTCTTCATATATAATCATATTGTGACTATTCAATAATATTAATCTCATTGAATGTTCTATCCATTTATTTATTTGAACACATAAATATTAGTACAAAAGGGGCAATGAATACATATGCGCCACACAAGTCACTTGATTTGCCCGAGTGTCCAGTCCGAAGCGGACGATTTTCTTAGGGGACTACACCCGGAGTCCTCGACCAAAAGGTTTGATCCACAAGACAATGGGGCTACGTCAGATGATGCGGTCCTATGGTAGCCAGTGACCAACGATTGGTTCATACGTTATTTGTTCCTTCAGGTTCCTGGAGCCTATGGACACTACTGCTTTAGAATCAGGGTTTTCCAACTCCCCTAGGCGGACTCTCCATGTCCACCAACCCGGTTAGAGTGCCATATATTCACTCTTCGTCCTCTCAATTTGGTAAGCAACACCCCCACCACGAGAAGGCAGTGAGTAGGACTTCCCTGTCAGTGGTTGGTATACACGTGGCCATGTGAGAACATTTCGAAAGAGAGAACTGATTCTCTCCTCCCTCGGCCGTACCAGGGTAATATTAATTTTTGTATTATATCTTATTTCTTTTCATTACATAATTAGCCTCAACCACCCTTGTACCCTTGTATCTTATTGATTGATTAAACACCATTGTATCTCATAATGAATACATATTGAACTTATGATAAAAACTTGTATCTATGCAATAAACATACATAATCAATTCGTTAAAATAAATTACTTCTTCTTATTCTTTGAAAGAATGAATATACTTCTATTGATTTAGAAACATTTCATATATTTGATTTATTTATATTATCTTAACAACAAATACATATAACTGAATGATAAATTGATCATCATAATGTGTAATACTATACCCCCTTAACATTATCGATTGTTTATTGATTTTATAGTTAACTTATGTCAATATCGAAGTTATTAGCATTTGTCAAGGGGATAAATTCTCAATAGTTGAATCTAGACTATCATGGAAAACCTGAAAGCACTAGATGGCCGTTTCGTCCTATTGTAGAACTCTTTAGCAGTGCGCATCCATGACTCCACCTCATGGGATTCGAACTAATGGAGTATTTAATTTACTTTAAGAATTTGTAAAATAATAATAATAATATCGAAGTAATTAGATTAGGATGGATATATTCTAAAAGATATTTATGAAAAGAGTTAAAATCTATATAAATTAAGTAATAAATTTAGTTCTTGTCATTTTAACTAATAACTATCTGGATATCATAGCTTGTTGGATAAAGTTTATGGTGTTTGAAACGAAAAATACTGGGTACGAGTTTTGATGTGAGTATTAACATGGATCTAAGTACTAGACACCAATCAACTTTATTTAAATGTATAATTCATAGTTCCATTTTATTTATTATCAAAATCTTGAAAATACCAGGATTTCTGACATATGAAACTAAAGTACTGGATTCGAGCCTTAATATTAATAGATGGTTACTCCTAAAATGGGTTCAATGAACATCTTGAATTACACTATTAGCAAAAATCTAAATGTTTCACTCTGAAAGACTTAATTAAACTAGTTTATGTATATGATGATCTCTGCTGCTTACTACATCCTTACCACTAAAAAACTGATCACTAAAACTCTAGTTTATTTATTTTAATTCCATTAATTACTCATTTATGCCTGTTATTCCTCATAGAGGAGGATAGGCCACTAACCAGCACATTCTATTCAACCCTGTCGTGGACAATCCTTTCCACCTCTTTCCAATTGTTATACATCCTTTTCATATCTGCTTCGATTTCTCGACATAATGTGTTCTTTAGACTTCCTCTTTTCCTCTTCCCTTCAGTATTCCAAGTTGGCGCTTGCCTAGTAATGCCGTTTGGTGATTTCTGATTTTAATTCCATACACGACATATATATAAAACATAAGTTGAACATTCAAATATGGAACTACTTATTCAAACGTTTAAATCATCGTTCTCTTTTTTTCTAATTTTCATTTATCACCATTCATTCTCTTATTTTAAATTTGTTTTACTTCATTAACTAAATCGGGTAACAGCGTATACTTATGCACTTACATGAAATGTTTACAATCTATCTTGAATCAAAAACTCATAAAATGTCACGATGGCAGTTCGTATATTTTCCTGTTTCTTATCTGTCATTTGGAGAAACAAGACGTGATTACTATAGGATTCATAGATTAAATATATTTGGCAAATAAAAAAGATATCATGGAACTGAAATCGATCGTAAACACACTACGCATGAATATGAACAATAGATAGGATAATAGGGTTTGTAAAGCAAGGGCCGCATTCCTACAATTGAAGAACATATGGAACTCAAAACAACTTTTAACCAATATCAAAGTCACAATCGTCAATACGAACGTCAAGGCACTTCTACTGTACGGAGTCGAAATATGGAGAACTACTACAACCATCATCAAGAAGGTACAAGTATTTATAAATAGTTGTCCATGCAAAATACTCAACATCCATTGGCCGGATACCATCAGTGACAGCCTACTGTGGTAGAGAATAAACCAGCTTCCAACTGAAGAGGAAATCAAGAAGAGACGTTAGAAGTGGATAGGACATACATTATGGAAATCACCAAACTGCATTACGAGGCAAGCCCTAACTCGGAATCCAGAAGGGAAGCGGAAAAGAGGAAGTCTAAAGAACACATTACGTCGGAAAATTGAAGCAGATATGAAAAGAATGAATAACAATTGGAAAGAGGTAGAAAGGATTACCCAGAACAGGGTTGGATGATGAGTGCTAGTTGGTGGCCTATGCTCCTCCATGAGAAGTAACAGGCGTAATTAAGTAAGTATGTAATCAGTGAATGAATAATAGATGATTACTGTTTATAAACAATTTATACATATTTCTCGAATATTTACAAATTAAATGCCTATACAATAGGAATTTTAATTCGATTTCCCTCCCCCCCATTTCTTCTAAAAAAAAAAGATCCTTTACTATAATCAGAAATATGGTATTCAAATAAATAAGGTTTTGTAGGATAGTAACATCATCTCTCAATTGATTACTATACATTTATTATCTGAAATGTAATCAATTTGATCTACCTTTTTATTACTCGTTTTGTTGTTGTTTAAATCAATAAATTGATTTCACTAATAATAATAATAATAATATTCTTAATAATAATAATAATAATCAGATTATATACACTTGGCGGTGAATTAGTTAAATCACCTGAAATGGTGAAAGATCATCATTTCTATGTTGCTGCAGGAAGTGAAACATATTTATCACGTGATTATGGACAACCATTACCTCGATTAATCACAGCAAGTAGAAAACCAACTCAGTAAGTTGTTATTTAATAATGTATAGTTGTATGTATGTATGTATGTATGTTTGTATGTTTAGGTTGTTTTCTCAATTTTAGAAATACTTTCGATGAGACTATAATTTATGAATGAACCAATTAGGTATAAGATGACAGGTCTTGGATTTTGACGCGAAATACACTCATCCATTATAACTGATGTCAGTTCTAACCTGTAAATCATAATTCGAATTCCTCACACTGGTTTATAACACTCATTTGATAGTGATTATGAAGTGGACACTTTCAAGGTCAGTCTAGCGTCACTGAAAGGTCTTCCATAAATTATAGTCTCATCATACTTGTTTTAAAGTACTCATTTCATCATACTACTGATATCTCTCGACATCAGTAGTATACATCACAGTAGTACAAACGAAGAAAACTCTATTAGAATAATAATGAGTTTCTCATTCAAAATCACTGGTAATTATACGATACAGTTCTTTCTTTAATCATGATCTAAACACCCTGTAGTTTGTAAAGGTTCCAGATTCAATGCCTGATATGATGAGTAATGACTTATTCAATTGGAATGCTAATGATATGTTCATTTGCTAAGAGTAATTATATAGATGCTTCATTGTATAATTACTTACTTACACCTGTTACTCCTCGTGAAGGAGCATAGGTCGCTCACCAGCATTCTCCATCCAACCCTGTCCTGGGCAATCCTTTCTAGCTCCGTCCAGTTGTAATTCATCGTTTTCATATCTGCTTCTATTATCCGACGCAATGTGTTCTTTGGCCTTCCTCTTTTTCGCTTCCCTTCAGGATTCCATGTTAGGGCTTGCCTCGTGATGCAGTTTGACAATTTGCGTAATGTATGTCCTATCCATTTCCATCGTCTTTTCCTAATTTCCTCTTCAGCTGGAAGTTGGTTTGTTCTCTCCCACAGAAGGCTGTTGCTGATGATATCCGGCCAATGGATGTTGAGTATCTTGTGTAGACAGTTATTTATAAATACTTGTACTTTCTTGATTGTGGTTGTTGTAGTTCTCCAAGTTTCAGCTCCATACAGTAGAATTGCCTTGACATTCGTATTGAAGATTCTCACTTTGATATTGGTTGGCAGTTGTTTTGAGTTCCATATGTTCTTCAATTGTAGGAATGCGACCCTTGCTTTGCCGATCCTCGCTTCATTGTATAATACTATAAATATAAGTGTTTATACAATAAGTTATTGAACTATTATTATTTAAGACAATTTAGTGCAATCTATGCAAACCTGACAGTTAATCCTTATTGTTAAAACAAAACCATATAAAATCATTTCAATTTATTTTGATAGTTAAATAAATCATTACCACTAGTTTCCACACTTTTTTCCCCTTGTGTTCAAGTTACTATGTGAATTCAGTCTGAAGTTAGCTATGAGAAAGTAATCGAATCAAGTATTGATTGTACAAGACATATCATAAACAGCCATTACTGATTGAAATCTAAATAATCCCATATCACAATGGCATAGTAGTTCGTGATTTTTCAGCAAAGTAAACAAAATTATTCCTGATTAATCCCAGACCAATTTAAGTTTGACAGATTATGTCACTGGTTATTGATAATAAATGCAACATCGACCTCCTCTATTTTCATATACTATCGAAAGAGATCATCATGGTTACTTACTTACGCCTGTTACTCCTAATGGAGCATAGGCCGCTAACCAGTATTCTCCAACCCACTCTGTTCTGGGCCTTTTTTTCTAATTCCATCTAATTCTTGTTCATTTTTCTCTTGTCTATTTCCATTTCTCGGCATAATGTGTTCTTCGGTCTTCCTCTTCTCCTTTGGCCCTAAGAATTCCATGTGGGGGATTGTCTTGTGACGCAGTTGGGTGCTTTCCTCAATGTGTGTCCTATCCACTTCCAGCGCTTCTTCGTAATTTCTTCCTCCGCTGGGATCTGGTTTATTCTTTCCCACAGTTGGTTTTTGCTAATAGTGTCCGGTCAACGGATCCGAAGTATTTTACATAGACAACACTTAATAAACACCTGTAATCATGGTTACTAGGACTTAATAATTCACAAAAATATAACCTCAAATTACAATGAATAAGGGACTAAATGATGGATAGGACATACACTACGCAAATCGTCAAACTGCATCACGAGGCAAGCCCTAACTCGGAATTCTGAAGGAAAGCGGAAAAGAGGAAGGCCAAAGAACATATTACGTCGGATAATAGAAGCAGATATGAAAAAGATGAATTACAACTGGAAGGAGCTAGAAAGGATTGCCCAGGACAGGGTTGGATGGAGAATGCTGGTGAGCGGCCTATGCTCCTTCACGAGTAGTAACAGGCGTAAGTAAGTAAGATCTATGGTAATTGATCCAATGACAAAATAAACGATCTAATAGGATTTGTGATATCATATAATCATGTAAATAAAATCTAAAGTAGACTCTTTTCTATTTTATTAATGAAAGAATCAAGATAATCATTGATCACTTAATTATTCTTTATCAATTTCACAAAATGTAAAAACTACATCCTCTTATCTAATCGAAATATTTAATAAGTTTGAATAAAATTCTCAACATCAAATTTTTCTGATCAGTAAAGGGTTATGAAAGTTATTCAGATCACGAATGGATTAATGTTAGACCATCATTGAAAACCTAGAAGTACTAGATGGCCGTTTCGTCCTAGTATGACACTTCTCAGCAATATACATCTATGATCTCACATACGAGAGTCGAACCCAAGACCTTTGGTCTCACGAGTGAACGCTTAGCATCTAGACCATTATACTGACATCTAATTGTGTTAATTTCTAACTTCAAACAATCCATCATATTTTTGTTGGAAACCTATTTGTTAAATTTTAAGCACATTTCATCTTAATAATAGATTTCTGTTTTTCAATAAATTTTAATTAAAATAATAAACTATACAATAGTTTTCAACAGCTGAGATCATGGAAAACCTGAAAGCACTGAACGGCAATTTCGTCCTATTGTCGGACTCCTCAGTAGTGCACATCCATGACCCAGCCTTGTGAGATCCGAAACTAGGACCTATCAGCCTCGCACGCAAATTCTTCACCTCTCGACCACTGTATCGCTCAATTTCGTGGATTCGTTGAAGTTAGACATTAACACTGTCCGTTGGATTTCGGCCGGCTCAGTGGTCTAGTGGTCAAGCGTTCGTGCACGAGACCGATATGTCCCGGGTTCGAGTCCCGCACACAGTATCGTGAATGCACACTGCTGAAAAGTTCTATACTAGGTCAGAACGGTCATCCAGTACTTCCAAACTTTCCATAGTGATCTAAATTCAATTAACTCATGATTTCAACTATTGAAATTATCATGATATCCACAGAACACCCCTTCTGTGATATTACAATAGTTTGTTCAAAATTTACTATCATCAACTAAACAGTAGACTTTTTTTCTACAATTTATTATTGTTGAAACTTTAATTTTTCATTTCAAACAAAAAAAAAGTTTATCACATGGAATTATTATTCTCTGAATAGAGGAAAGTTCATAGATTCACGTGTATCAACCATAATATTTAAAAGGAAAAGAAAGAGAGAAAGAAAGAAAGAGGGAAAGGGAGAAAGGGAGAAAAAGGAATGTTGTCTAAGATAAATTAAAAAAAAACAATAAAGATGAAATAGGAATGATCATTATCATCATCATCATCACCATCATGATCATCATAATAATGATCATGTGTCTATAGTGAAATTATAATAAACAATAATAACCTGTACACATGTTTAACAAAGCCAATGAACAATCAAATAAACTTATTACTATTCCCTATTACATTTTAGCAAAAAACGAATAGTATAACTGTATTTGGAAGTAATATTGTTGTGTATTGAATGAGATTATCACTATGGACAATGAAATGTATTTAAACAATAAAATTTTCAAGAATCTTATAAGAAAATCTAAGAAACATTAATTGCCTTTAAATTTGATTATTCCTTCATCACAATTGATTGATCACTGGGTGGCGATCAATGTCATGCGTGTCTAGTCCTTATTAGTACAGATCGAATGCTATCGATCATGTTGCAATGTGGCCACCAGTCTAGGTGACTCGACACTGTGGGCACTTTATATTGAGATTAGATGGTGGTTGGAGGTAGTGACACAAGATCGAATCTGCCAGGGAGCACCAATTCCCTCAAGATTACAGGTACACCTTGCTGACGAGTACTAAGTAGCCACGAAACCCGCGTCCAGGGTTTCTTGTCGATTACCTCCAATCACTATCTAATTATTCCTTCATTTCTATATTCATCATTCTTTGTTCTCTTTGATCTTCTTAACCTTTTTAACACTAAACATTTCACTTTCGATTCATGCGACATACTACTTATAACTATCGACATCAGTAGTATTACACCACAGTAGTACAGATTAAAATTTTAATGAACAGTACTTTAGATATGCCAACCATTTTTTTTTATTTATTTTGTATTTTAATCATCTACTACTCATGTTGCTTGTCATAGAAATAAACATTGAATTGTATTCTGGTTCACTTGAACATACGGGTAAATTATTATTAATGACTTGTAAATCACGCCAAGTACTGTAGTGAACAAGAACACCAGTGGGGAACAATCGAATGTATTTGACTCGAAATTCCAGGACTTGTAAATAGAATCTAACAATCATAAAGTAAATGCTTAATTTGCAAAATGTCCATCAATTGTCTTAGAATGACTCAGACTTTATTGTTCTTTTAGTTTCATACAAATTGCATCCTGTTTCCATTCTTCACTGTTCGATACTCTTGTTTCTCTGCCGTCAAACCTTTTGTTCACGACTAACATCATATACTACTTATGTCAATATAATAGTTGAAATCATGTGTCAACTAAAACTAGATCACAATGAATAACCTGAAAGCACTAGACAGCCATTTCATCCTAGTATGAAACTGCTGGATTCGAATCCCGTAAGCGGGATCATGCATATACATTGCTGAGGAGTCTCATACTAGAACGATG